GACGCTGCTGCTTTTTTTAAGACGTAAAGCAATAAATCATTAACCGCTGAGCGGTGGCGCTGCCTGGGAGTCACGTCCCCTCTGGAGCAGCCACTTGTGCTTTGTCTCTCCCAGGGAGGGAGAGGGGAGCTCTCCAGCCTGCCCCGTGTCCCCCACAGGAGGGAGGGAGGGTGGGCGAAAGCTGGAATGGGCGAATTGCCACTGGCAGCTCAGGGCTGAACTGGTGCAGTACTCTGCGGTGGCAGGGTTGGTCATGTGTGAGCTTCTGCTTCCCTGTGTCCTCCCATCACCTCCGACGTGGCTTGCCATGGGGAAGTCTGCCTGTGTGGCCATCTCTGCTGTGTTCCATGCAGAAAAGCCCACATGTCCTGCTGGGCACCTGCTTGTGTGGGGTGTCTCTCAACTGACCAGTATTTCTGGGCTGAGTTCAGGAGCCTTGAGGAGCTCTCAGCCTTCTGGCTCCTGTGCTGGAGCCAATGTTTTCCCTGGTACCTGTTCCTGAGCTGGTCTGTCAGCTTCAACAAGCCATCACCCAGCTGTTGGGATCAAGATCAGGTTCTTAAATCCAGACCCAAGCCCACAACAGCAGGCACCAGAGGCAGATGTACACCAGAACCAGCATGTGTGGTCACCCCCACATGCATCAAGCCGGGGAGAGGGAGGACTTAAGCAATGCAGGCTGCCAAGGGCTCCTGTCCTTGAGTCAGGAGAGGCAGATTGCAGTGGGGCTATGAAACCCTCACCTGCAGAGCCAGCAGCTGATGCAATTCTCCCTGGGGCTGAGCCCATTCCCCAAGGCAATGGGCTCAGCAGGTGCTGGTCACCCCATGGCTCAGTGCTACAGCCGGACCCTGTCATGGCTTCAGGAAAACACAGAGTCAGACCAGGGCAGGACACCTTCACAGTAACAAAATACCCAGCACCCAGGTGGCTCCCACCTCTCTATTCATCCCTGCCCTTCCTGGCATTACCTGGCACCCCACTCCAGTGCAGATCCCCTAGGGGTAAGGGATAATCTCAAAGACATAGGGCCAAATCCAGCCCTGGCTCTGCCTGGGTGAAGGAATGTGGGACAAAACTGGAGTTTGGAATGCCAAGGAGCAAAGGCAGAGCACCCACGGGTGCTGTGGATGCCATGTCATGGGGACGTTGCTTTCAGGAACAGCCAGGAGTGAAAGCAAAGAGTTGAAGCTTGTCTGAGTTTGCATTTCAACTCCTTTCCCAGCTCATTCCCCAAGAGCTTTCCATTGCACCTGGATCAAACTGGTGCCTTTTGGTGATGGAGTACCCCAGTCCCAGCACCCACAGGTAGAACACTGAAAGTAGTTTGCCCCCATCTCGGGGAGAGCAGGGACACAGGACACAGTGGGATTCATGCCAGACAGCTGCTGGGCTGTCCCACACAGCCCTAGCACCCACATCACCTCTCTGGGGCCATGGAGCAAAGGAAGGGGGACAATTACCAAAGCACTATCAGGGAGGGTTTCTCGGGGTTGGCCCCCATTCTGCTCACCCTCCTGCCTGCTTGAAACCCTTCCCCTTTCTTTGCAAATCAGCCCATGGAGGAAGATGGGGAGGAAGGCTTTTCCCTGGCCTACAGGGTTCCTGAAAGCAGTGGTTGCTCAGTGGCAGAGGGCTGAAGGCGGCACTCTCAACAGCAGCCCCAACAATGTGGGGTAAATGCCTCAAATGGGAGTTTTACAGCTTAAAAAATGAAGCACAAAGGCTTTTCATGTGCTTAAACACCCAGGGACTGCAGGGTGACCACGTCATGGCATGAGATGGCCAAGGAGCATCACCAAAGCATCCCAACCCTACCAGACATTCCAGGCTTGCAGGTCTGCTCTCACCTGGCTGTAGCACCTCTAGCAGGCTGCCTTCCTGCCCACTCACTTGCACAGGTGCCTGCCTGCAGAGCCGGGGGAGAAGGAGGAGGGAGATCACCCCATTATTCTGAGCTTTGAAACTGAGCTATTGAAAACTCCCTGCCATGCCACAGTGCTCTGAAAAACAGTGCAATGTGCAGCCGGGTCCCTGAGCCACGTCTTTGACCCCAACCACCTGCTGCAGGGTGAGGGGACCCTGGTGTAAGCTCTGCTTTACCCCATCTCCCTCTGCTGCTGCCCTTCCAGATAGCCCCTGCAGTTCTGCTGCATGTGGTCCCTGGGGTGTGCCAGGGCTGGCACCCTGAGCCTGGGACTCCATGGCTTTTGCAACAGGATTTGGCTCCTTCGGGACACGCATTAGGATGGTGAGTTCATGCTGCCCCCACTGAACTCTAATTCCCTGCAGATGGATTAAAATAGAGCCCCAGGCCAGTTGTTGCTCAATCGTGGAATTCACTCCTCGTGTGACAGTTGCTCGGTGCTTCCCCCACTGGAGCCTGTGATCCAAAGTAGCGTGTGTCATTTCCCGTCTCTTCTGCTGATCCATCAGACCCAAGGGCTCCCCTCCTGCACTGCTGGCATACAGGCAAAGGGCTGTAATCCTCTCCAAGTGGTTACTCCTGCCCGAACCACTGTTATCACAACAGTGCCAAACTATTGCTGAGCCAAAAAGAGCTTTTCAGCCATCAGCTCGGTCCCATGAGAGCTTTGCAGCCCCAACCAGAGGGTGGGGGCAGCGGGCAGCAAAGGGCACGTGCATAGTTGTGGGATGCACCAGCATGTCCGAGCTTGACTCAGACTGAGACTGGTCCCTCCCTGAACCTGCTCTCTGAGCTGCCTGGAAAAAGCCTTCCACTCTTCATTTTAAGCCACAGAATTACCCTGTGTCCCTTCCCAGTCCTAAGTGGGCAGAAAGCCCCTGCACCTCATGGTCCACCCGTGGTACCATGTGCTACACAAACCATTCCCATCAGCTGGCACCTCCCCATTCAATATGAATGGAGCAGAGCATCAGTGCTTGGGACTGCAGGGATGCTCCTGCAGCTCTGAGCATCTCTCCACCACAGCTGTGCCCCTTTCTCTAGACACACACACACAGAGGAAGAGCAGTTTAGACTGAGGGGTGTGTGAGGCCTGTGCACAGAGCAAATACATAGGTGGGATTCCCAACACACCTGCCAATACCAGCCTCAAATCGCCGAAATGGTGTTTCTCTTACAGCTCTAGCAGGTTTAGAGTTCAGGGCTGACCTGAAGCTTTGCAGTGACTCCAGATGACCGAATGATGTGTGGAAGCAGTGGAAAAAAATAGCAGCCAACTTGAACAAAGTTTCCAAAGAAAACTGTCTGTCTGCACCGCTTCTGGGGCGAGAGGTGCCGGAGTCTTCTCCTTGTGGCAGCTTCCAGTTGCAAAAATCTGTGTCAGCTCAGTGCCTGCACTGTGTCAGAGACATGATGAGCTCTTTACTATTTTTTCCTCCCTTGCAGATGGAAACACAGCCGGCTGGAGCCAGGGGAAGCTGACGTGCACTGGCTGCTTGGCTCTGAGAACTGAATTCCATAGGCGTTACAGCCTCCAAAAATGCCCTATGGATTCAGTTCTGCAGCTGGGCAGCAAATCAGCCTCAAACCTCCAGGAAGAGAATGCAACTGTGAGAGCTGTTCCTAAATGAAAGTGCAAAGCTTTGCTCCTGCACGGAGACCAGATTAGGGATGGAGGTGAGTTATGGCCACCACAGGAAAACCTGCTATCAGAGAGCTGGTGGAAGTGTTGCCTGTTTGTGGCAGGTTTTCTCTTGGGAAAAAAAGCCCAACTATAGAATGTTTTCTTCCTTCTGGAAGTGAAATGGCACTTGAGAAAATAAATACATTGCTACCTCCTGATGTACTACATGCGATTGTGAGCCTCTGCTAAAAATACACATTGTCAGAACAACAGCCTGGGTGTGCCTAGCAATCTTCTGTTCAGAGTCCAGGCAGCAAAACCAAACAAAACTTGGAGAAGATAAACAGGACAGGATGGGTAAAGTTAGGAGTTGTGCCCTCTCTCTCCCCATGGACCCTGCAGATGTCCCCAGCAGGAATAGGCACTTGGAGAAAGTATTTGTGGAGGCAACAGGCTCTCTTTTCACCCATCCATCATATACGTCTGGGAAACACTGGCTGCACCCCTTGAGTTTTGGGGACATTTCCACTATAACAAGTGTCACCCTGCCACCAGGAATTTATTGGCTGGAAGAGTGGCATTTAGGATAAATTACTGTGAAAGTCTGCTAATTTATGGTAGCATCTCAGCATCACCATAGGACAAACCCCACACTCCTTCTCACCTTGCCTAGAAGACGTGGTTTGCATGTCCTCCAGCATTTCACTCAAAGCAGCCCCTTCCCATGGCAGGCAGCATCCAGCTCCCACAGCCCAGATGTGTCCCACAACAGCTGTGGGGATGGGGAAGGAACTCCTTCCAGCACCCCATTGGAGGCTGCCTCATCCACACAGGGATCCAATGCATGAATTTTGGGTTCACTGCCCAAGGAAGCCACTGCTGCTGGAAGGACAGGGAGTGCAATACTCAGTGCTGCAACAGTTTTTCTGGTTCAGCCCTCTTGCAGCTTTGTCTGGCAGCAGAGTTAACCCATTTCCAAGAAGCTAATTGGGGAAGGAGAAATCCAGACAGTTGCTGAGACATTTTGGCAATTGGTTAAACAAAACCTGTTGCACTAAGTAAAAAGAAAAAAACAAAATCCGCTTGCTTTCACTTTATAGCAATTCAGAGCCAACAAGGGCCTCCAGGTTCACCCTCACAGGCTTTCGCTATTGCTATGCAGATGGGGAATTCCTAGTTCCCTCCTGCATTAGAAGGCCTTTCTCCCATATGGCAGGTCAGGGGGAGCCTACAGGGGGACAGAGAAAGTCCTGTATTTCTCCTGTATGCTCATAAAGTCCATGCTGGTCCTCAAAGAAGAAGCTGACAGGCAACAAACTGGGGCAAGGCAAGGTACTGCCAAGCAGGACAAGCAGAATAACCCACTGTGGCTGGGCACAAGCCATGACAGAAGTCATCCCTAACTTTGCAAGAGGTGCCAGATCTGATTGCAAGTTGTTCACAGGACAGGTAGCTAAGAATCAGAAATATAAGCATTTGCATTTGGGTTTTTAATTGTTTATAGTAATTTAAAAGGTACAGAAGTTTGCAAGCAAGTCATACCCAGACCCTAACAGCCCTCCAGGCTTCCAACACAACTCTTTCAGCACAACCACTAAGCTGTGGAAGTGCTGTGGTTCACACAACTCCAGTAACATTATTGGAGAGCCAGTACCTTCAACCAGAGCCAAGTCAGACCCAGAGCAGGGCCTCAAGCAGCAATTTCAACAAGGACATGTGGCCAGCAGTACTGAGCACCAGGTTACCAAGTGTAAGAGGATGGGAACACCAGGACCTTCTGTCAGCGTGTAGGGAAGTGCTGCATACAGGCATCACGTGGTGATTAAGCACAATGGTATGATCATAAACAGCAGTGACAAGATATGCAGACAATTGCTCTTTAGAGTATTCAAGAACCCCTCTGTCCTCTGGGACCTGCGCTGCCCTCAGCCTGGAGGAAATCCTGCTTTGATCTCTCCAGGAAGGGAACCACCTCACAGGCCCTTCCCTTGGACAAAGTAGGAAGAGGCCCATCTTCTCTAATCAAGGGCTACTGTCTGGAGATCCCCCCACCAGACTGTGACCACTCAACCAAACCAGTGGAAACCAAATGTTCATTTCAAAACCAGGACCAATGAGCTGATCCAACAATCAAGTGTCACGTGGCTTCTTCAAAGGATGGGCATTGTGTATCAAACAGAGTAAAGCTGCCATAAGCTTGTGGAGGATGGGGAGCAGTTAAAAATTAACAGGAGTGGTGGCATCCACTGCTTGTGCTACTTGTCAAATGCACCATGAACAGCTGTCAACTGGCTCCCATGAGGGCACTGGAGCACCTGTCCATTGGGGGACTGGCTACATCAATGTCTCAGTTTCTTTTTCTTCTTACGGTTCCGGTCTTCACTGCTGTCATCTGCCTCACTGGCACTGGGGGTCACAGCCTGCTGGATGACTTTTTTTTCCACTGCATATTCCTGCTCTTCTATCTTGGGGTCTCCCTTGACCAAGAACTCTCCTTTCCGATAGGATATGGAGACATTGGTCCGTGGGTAGGTACCATAAACCCTCCGGAGATCATCCTTCACAAATTCTGGGAGGTCTTTCCTTGGTCCAAACACCTTTCCAAGCTTGCCCCATTGAAGCTCCCCTCTCATTGTAAAGCCTTCTGGCCACGTGTCTCGATACTGATCTGACCTCTGGTAGGCAGCGTATGGATGGTAGTTTGCATAGGGATTGTAGAAAGGGATGGGGACCATGGGAGGGAAGTGCCAGGTGTAGTATGGATGGATATAGGGATTGGAGGCACTATAGAGATGATGATACTCCACCTGACCACCTGAATAGTCAGGGTAGCTGTTCTGGTCCACCACAAAGGTGATGGGTCGACTGTAGAAGTTGTGCATGTGGATGGGAGGGAACATCACGGAGCTGGTCATGTCTTCTGCTCTCCCAGGCCGCAGCGGTGGGTAGGCGTAGGCAGAAGGTGGGATCATGCCTGGGTAATATTCCCGTGGCACAAAGCTGGACTGGTACATTGTACAGGAGACTGGGGCTTTACGCAGCAGGCACTTCTCTGAAGAAGTTGCAGAGTCTCAAAAGCTGTGAGGACAGGAGGGGAAGAGAAACAATTTACACTGGTTATAAAAATATTCCAGAACCAGGCTGAATAAGGAGATATGCCTAGCACTGTAAGCATATCAACTAATTAATAATTAATAAAAGGAGCTCCTTGCAGCTTGCAGGGGCAGTAACCTGCCAAGAACAAGCAGAGCCACATTGCCAATGACTGCCTGTTAGCTGCTCAGCAAGACTCGCCATTTAACCCACTCATCTCAGAGTTACAGGGATGTGAACAAGCTGACAAAAACCACTGAGGGCAAAAGAAACCACCTCATGTCCTCATGACTTATCTCTGCACTGCTGGGAGGCAGCAGTACAGACTGCAAGAAGCTGGAGGCCCTTGAGCAAGCATGAAAATGGGGAAGGCAAGCACAAGTGAAAGAACAAAAACAAAGCAAGCAGGCAAAGAAAGGAGAGACAACAGCCCAGCCCTGCTGCAGTCATTTCAACTGCCATCCTGCCTAGACTGGGAAGTCTTAAATAAATAAAAAGATCTTCAACTGTCCTTGACTCTCTCTTCCCATCCTCCTAAAGCCCTGCTTCTACTCTGATAAGCAAAAGAGCTGTACCTACTGTTTGTTTCTAGAGCAAAATCCAGGCACATCTACATTTCTTCTGATGAGTTCCCATGTATAAGCATCTCCTTTTGATCTCACTAGTTATAATTCACATTTAAGTGTGCATTCACCTTGAGCAACTCTGACCTACGGTGGAATTTGTTCCTAGCCAGATATCCAAGCACCCTCTAGGGCCTTAAGCAATGTCCTCCCATGACTCATTATCCTCTCCTCAAGGGCAGGAAGGGAAGTTGTATATAGCATGGGTTTGGGGGTTTTTTGTCTTTTTTTTTTTTTTTTTTAAATTTGTTACCAGAGACAGGAAAAGACCATGAACAGAACCAAAGGCAGCAAGTCAGGTAATTTTTTTTCCATGGAGTTCAGATCCCGTAAACTGCTTTTGTATCAGCCTTAACTAGAGTTGCCTCTCCCTCAGGTGACCAAGAAGGAGAGGTGAAACTCAGCCCTCAGTTCCTGTGCTTTCCTCCAGCCTAACAAGAAGTTCAGCCATCCCCTAAGAGTTGCCTGACACAAGCAATGCTGGGTACTGAACAATGGAGGTTTTTCCTTTCTTTAACCAGCACAAGTTGCTTCTGTCCCTAGAGGTTCATAATCTGCACTTCCTCAAACCTGCTTTTGCCACAGCTCCAGGGCTAGAAGTCTTCACCCCACACAGGGAACAGCAGAACAGCACAAGAGTATTTAGTCAAGACTAGGCAGCACCCTAAAATGAGACTTGCAGCCTAGAAGCCAAAGCCTGTCATAGCCATCACCCCCTCAGATAGGAGGAAATGAATCAATCAAACAAAGAAGTTCACAGCTTACTTGCCTAACTTGCTCAGAACTACCACAGAAATCCAAAGGAATGTTGTATGTCAATGGCAGCACAAGGTGGGTACATGGAATAAATGGTGTCTTCTTGAAAACCAGTCTCAGTGCCCCTTTTAATAGTTCATCCCTGCATCCCTATTGAGATCCACAGGATCATTTCTGTGGAGTGTTTGTGTTTCAGACAAGTGGTCTGCACAGAGAGTGTGCAGCTATTGCATCCATTGTGTGAAACAAAGCAACCTCCCCTGCTGGGTCAGTGTGCTGCTCCATGCCAGTTTTTGACAGCCCTAGTTGATGACCAGCTCTTGCTCAAAAGCTGCTGTAGCACCCTGCATTTTGGCTGGCAGCATCATTCCTCCCAGATCTTCCTGGCAGCTGCAAGGAGAAGGGCTGACAGGCCATCTAAATTACAAGGCAGCCTGAGCACAGCTATTAACTGCTTTGATGTTGCACTGGAAAAAGATAAGGGGAACAAGCTGGTGGCTCAGCCAGGCAGGATGACCCACAAGAGAAAGCAAACTGAAGAGGTAAGAGGGGGGAACAAGATGAGGGTTAAGCAGGGCTGGGAGCACTCCAGAACAGCATTGCCACACACCCCACCACAGAAGTGAAGACGTTTCCCTGGAAGCAGATCACCCGGGGGGAGGGATTTGACAGGTCCCACAGTGTAGACAAGAATTCACAGCCCTGGAGGAGGTTTGCAAGCCTTGGCTGGGTGTCCAGGGCTCAGGTGGGCACTGCCTCTGCTGGGCTTCAGTGCACAGCTGCCTGGCACTGCCCTGTCCCTGCCTGCCCCCCCAGCACAGAGCTCTCCCCTGTGCCCCAGCACAGAGCTCTCAGACTGCCTCGACACAGGCTTACCTGCACTAGCACAGGGCACCAAACCCCAGCTCCTGGCTTGCAGGGCACAGCACTGCTTTGAATCCTCAGGTGTGTTGCAACAGGTTTTGGTATGCAGAAGGCACAATGCTCCTGCCCTGCCCCTCCAGAGCTGCAGCCTGGTGCTCCCAGGGGCAGACAATGTAGTTTACGCCACCTTTACGTAAGTGCCTGTTGTTCAAATTGACCTTCAGGCTGCTTCAGCTTCCAGAGACAGGATTTGGGAGACCACAGTTGCAGCAAAGCCCTGCTAGACTCTGCAGGGCTGAGTTAGACTGTGATAAATTCACGTGTACAGGAAAAGGCTTTTAGAACACCAGTACCGGCTTGCATGATTCTGTCCCACACTCACTGGGAAGTGAGAGCAGGTAGTATTTCAGGGAAAACAGGGTTTGCCCGGAGGGTGATCTTCTGTCAGGCCATCTGGTGGCTGGAAGGCATCAAAAGACAGATGCTTAAGAAAACCAACTGCAAACACCAACATTACCTAGTGGTACCACTTGAGGAGAGGGTCCAACCCCTAGTTTCTTCTCTCCTTCCTCTTCTTGAGGAGACCCTAGAGCACTAGTACCTAGAGGCAGTCTACAGGAGAGCTGGAGAAGGACTTCAGACAAGGGCAAGCAGTGATAGGACAAGGGGTAATAGCTTTAGCTGATGGAAAATGGATTTAAATTAAATATTAGAAACAAATTTCTAAGGGTGGTGAGGCACTGGCACAGATTGCCCAGAGAAGCTGTGGATGCCCCATCTGTGGAAACATTCCAGGCCAGGCTGGATGGGGCTCTGAAAAACCTGGTCTAGTGAAAGATGTCCCTGCCCATGGCAGGGAGATTGGAACTGGATGATCTTTAGGGTTCCTTCCAACCAAACGATACTTTGATTCACCTCCTCCTACTTCCCTTGTTCCTCCATGTCAACAGCCAGAGGCCAGCCTGGCCTTGGAAGTAAACATCTGACAGCTGCCAGCTCTTCAGGATCAACTGCAGGACCAGAAATGGAGAGGGGATCCTGGCTCTTTGGACTACCAGCCACTTTCTTCCTTTGCTCCAATTGCAAGCTCTGATATGCCTTGGGGAAAAAATCACCACATCCATTGCCTGGCACTCAGATTTCCTGAGCAGGAAAAGGGCAAAACAGTCCTTAAAACCTGAGCTCAGCCCTGCTAAATGCCTCCCTGGTCCTGAGAGCCACTGACATCCAACAATACATGCCAGCTTTTCGGTGCCAGAGATTGAAAACATAGATGGCAGACACCAGGCTGTACGTGGGAGCCAAGCCTCCCCTAGACAGGGCACTGGGAGCAGTTGTTGGCAGCAGGTAGCAACAAGGGACCGACCCAGTAAGAAAGGCCACAGCACGAGACAAGGCAGCTTCTCCCTTTAAGCCTTTCCAGCAGTTCTGGTCTTGCTGGAAAGGGTTCAATGCCACTTGACTGGAGATGAATGAGATACTAGGCACAAAAAAAAAAAAAAAAAAAGGCAAGAAAATTTCAAAGATGGTTACAGACAACTGAAATGAGATTGTCATCTCTGGTGAGAACATGATACTGCAGGCTATTCCCAGGCTTGCCAAAGCTGACTCCAGCAATTCCCTTATTCACTGCCCATCTGGCAGGGCCTTTCCCTCCTCACACCTCTTGGTGCAGGTCAAGGAGACTGACACCACAGTTCCCAAAAAAGATATGTCAAGTAAAGCGTGCTTCAGTGCCAGCTGCCCCAGACAGAGTTGCTTTGGAGCAACCAAGCAATGTTTGCAATACAAAACCAGAGAGGACATTTGATAGCTCAAGTATAGAAAAGCTTTTGTTTCACCACACTCTTACTCAGTTACTACAGGTGATGAATCCACCAGTAGTTAAAACAGAAATGCCTAAGGCTGGTAGGGCTTTCCTGGTATCTAAAGCAACAGAAATTACCTCCTAGCAATACACAGTTTTTCTGGACATATCTCAAGGCAGTAGAACTTTACTGTCACCTGAGCTAGCTTTGAATTTGGGGAGCTTTTTGTTTAGATATTTGTAAAGCACAAAAAAACCCACTGTGAGCTGCAGAAAACAGAGAAAAGTGTAAATATTGAAGTCCATGCCAGACTAATCTCTCTCCTAGAGAATGTGCAAAGTGAGCCTGACCGTAGCATGGACACAGACCAACATACAAGGTCTCCCACAGTATCTAACATGTGAAACTTCATACAAGTCTTGGTGTCACCAAGACAAACAGTTCAAAGAATGTCACCAAGTCTTCTGTCCACCTGAAGCAGCGGCCAAATTCAGCAGGGTCCCCAGGTCAGGCTGGCAGCTTGAATGGGTTTGGATGCTTCCTTAGGGAGCATGAATAAATTCAGCACAACTGTAGAGACACCTTGGCCCACAGGAGAGGACGTGGCCATCTATTTTACTGTAACTCTCAATCAAGACTATTCTTGCCTCATTCCATTGCCCTGTGATCAGCTCCCAAATGAAGATCCCATTAAGTTACCCTTTCCTTTCCACTGTTCCAGCACCCAAGCTTTCAGACTATTCTTTCTAGTTTTTTTCTTGCCCTCTTCCTCTCCCCATCCCAGAAAAACCACAGATCTCCTACCACTGCTTTGTGGCAACTCCCAAGGGTACAGGGATGAATACTGCAAAAGCACCAAATTCCCCCAGCCAAGGGAATGAAGAACTCATGAGTTATTTCCAGTTAGTCTCCCCATTTTGAGCAGAGTCTGCAACATTGCTGCCATCTGACAAAGCTTTGGCAAAGGCTTGCCTTGGACAAAAAACCCAAAACTTCAAGGGCTGCTTAAAGTGAAAGGTTAAAACGGAATGTTCTTATTGAGCCAAGGTTTGTCTTTCATAGCTCTGGTCTCAGAGTCCCACATACTTATCCAGCATCCTGATAGTGAGTGGGAGAAGATCACAATAAAGCAGTTTCTTATTTTTCCCTGTCACTTCCACCCCTTTATTGCCAGCATAAGATCATGCTTGGTTTGAAGTCCTTTAAGAAAAACTCACCCAGACAAAGACTCCCAAGTACTTCTTGGAGACGTGGGAGAGCAGCACAAAAAGCCACACAGCACCACACAATAGCTTTGATCCTCCACTACCGGTACTGATCCTTAGGACAGAGGCACTTGGCTGGCTTCCTAAAGGGAATGTTTTCTCTTAGCCAGACATGCCTGGCAGCAGTACAGGAATTCAAGGAAAGTGCAATAACTCGTTACAAGCTGGGTCTTTTCAGGCCTAATTTTTATCTAGAGGAGCAGATTCCCATGCTAGTGCTGCTTAATAATGGAAAAACTTGGATTTTGCACAGACACACCCACCCCACAAAGGTAAAACAGCACCACACAGTTTGCTGTGGTCTCCAAGAGAAAAGCAAACCTACACTGTCCGAGCAAACACACACTCCTAGCAAGGAACATTAAATACTTCCACAAGAGGTTACTACATCATGCCTAGTGCCAGCAGGCAGTAGTGATTAACAGGAGTGTAACCCAGGGCTGCAGAGAACAGGCCTCTTTGCCAGGCAAAGCCCACCACAACCTGAAGGGAGAGTTGACTTCTTGAAAGAGGTGACCTCTTACATCTGGAAAGGGAGAAAGATGCAGTGTGATGGGCTGAGGTGAAGTGGGGCCATTTCTGCCCCACTCCTGCTCACACACTTCATCCCTGTGGCCTCTCCAGCAGCACAGAGCACAGCCTGGATAAGGGTGGCAGCCCGACAGCTCCCATGCTCAGGCAGCACAGCTTAGGAGCTCTCCCCTTCAGACTTGAGCCCTGAGTGCCACCACAGTCACAGGTTTCTGAATGCAACTCATTTTCTATAAAGCCACAGTGCACGTAACAATAACTTGCTTCCTGCAGGCAGAGCTGACACTGCCTACCAGGAGCTGTGCTGGTGTTACACACCAGCATCTCTCCTTACATTGATCCTCTGGGATATTTCAGGATGGAAGTTTACTGTGACAGGATACACAGCTTCTGCTTCTCAGAAAAGGCGTGAGGTTATTTGCCGTGGTAACCTGGTAACATGTAAGAGGAAGGTAATGGATACTGAAAGCAGCTTGAACACAATCCATGAGAAAGAAAAGGGCTTTGCAGGCAAGAGCAGGTACTTTGAGTGAAAGCTTCATGACTCCCCAGAGAACAGTAAAGCTGCAAGGTAGAAAGGGTTTAAGAGAGATTAGAAGTAGAGATCAGTACAAACAGAAGAAACCCACCAATCCAGATGGTTCTGTATGTTTTTACTGAAGGTAAATACAAAGTTATTTTGGTTGGATCGAAGAAAGCAGTAGCACAGGCAGCAGATGGATGCAGATGGCTGCAGGACCCCCTACTTCTGCCACCAGAAGGCCTTCAAGCAGCCTTATCTGTTCCCACACCACTGACCCAGTCTGAGGAACTCCCCCAGCAGTTCTGGGGCTCTGACTTTGCTTCCTTTCACACCATGGGAGGGACCTTTCCATCAGGAATTACTTCACTGTCCAAATTCTTACAGCTGCCTAAGCCAACTGAGAAGATACCACAAGCACAGCTGATACCAAAACTCCATGAACAATCCCTTCAGCTCAGCCAAGCAGGAGGATTTAACTTCTGAAACCAGAAGACACCAGTCTCATCCTGCTGTTAGTAGTGCATCACAAAGAGAAGAGCTTCAGCTGGCACCAGTAACTGTGGAAATAGCAGCTAATGCATATTGCAGTCAGTCACCCCTTATACAGACCCTTTGAAGAGGGAGTAGATTCGTTTCAGCTATTCAAAGCAACATTCCCAGAAAGCGCTGAAGTCTAATATGGGTCTGGCATTTGTTTCTGAGGTTTGTGCAAAGCCCAGACTCTGTATGAGATCAAAAGACCAGGAAAAGCCCTAGTCATGGCAGAGCAAGACTTTACTTGACTCCAATGATCCAAAACCCACCCCCTGCATAACTGTGCTCTAATAGCAGTCAAAATGCAACTTGCTGGTGACCGAGATGTTTGAAGCAGCCACTCCTATTCTGACTGCAGCTGCTGGATAACACAGCAGCTCTGGAACAGCTGCACTGCCAATAATAAAACATGGTGAGTTTTACCACAGGGTGACTGCATCAGCAGGCAAGGCTCTGGAAACTACCCCTGCCTGCTGCCAAGGTGATCCCAACACTATCACCCCTTTAACCTCTCCCTAGGTAGATGTGTCCGGTGCACTAAAGTCTACAGTGTGGACACACTCCAAGCTTATTCCTACTTCTGGCACAGCCTAAGTTCTGTGTTATTAAAGCTACCACCACCACCACTCATCTTCCCAGCAATCAATGCAGGCACCCTTTGCATCAGAAGTCTTCCTCACCTGAGGTTCAGATCTGCCCATGTCTCATGATCACAGTCAGCGCTACCAAAAGCTATCATCTTTTTCCTCATCTAAAGCTTTGCCCAGACATAGATCATATTTCAACACTATTCTCTTTAATTGAGCACATTTTAATCTGCACTTCATACTGTTCAGTCCTAATGATCCCCTCCACGTTCAAACACAGCCTGCACACAGACCTGCTCCTCCTCTCACTGAAGACTTCATGTGATATCCATCATCTCCATCCACACTCTCTTCTTCAAAGAAAAGTTCCCAGTATCAGTTAGCTCAAACTTCCAAATTAGGAGATCATGGTCAAGCCCCAGCTGTCACTTCTGCCCCTTCAGATTGCAGTCTTGAGACAACACTCAGGAGAGTGTTGTTTTATCAATCAATCACACCAGTAAATCAACTGAATGATCAATAACCTCATTAACACACCACCAGTTATTTTTATCTCACGGTTATTTTTATCACTTTGTACACAGCTATGAAGCTACTAATCAAGTCTTATGAACCACACACAATGCTATTGAGTCACAAGTGCCACCCTTCCCTTCCACACCACTTAGCCCTCTTTGCTCTACCCTCCCCCAAGTCTTTCCAACATAGACCTGATGGAGAGTCCAGCAGGTTGTTAAAGGAGCATCACTTCAGCATTCCAGTGTGCTCAGGTCCTCAGGCTTCACTATCATCCGTAGATGTCTGCACTCCTGCAATCAGCTGCTCCCGCCTTTGTCTCATTTTATACCTTATTCTCTTATTTCAGGATCTGCTTTCTCTGCCACGCTCATGCCTCCCTTACTCCAGTCTCCTCCCAAACAGACAGTCCACCCCTAATTATTTCTTCCTCATTGGTCTCAGTTTTGCTATGTCCATAACTAAATCTGACACTTTCGATATCGTTACCTAGGCAATCTCAGCCTTACATGGTATTACTGATATGGTGCGGGTGGCCTTGCAAGGTTCTACCCTGCAAAAGCTGCTTCAGACACCCCTATAATTATCTAGTTCCTCCTGGTTATATATTGTTGACTTTACACACTCCAAGATAAATCATTCAGCTCCAGCCTTGATTCCCGTGCCCAGCTCCAGTTACCTCCCAGCACTTTCTTATCTCACACACAGACAGTTCGCATAGCAGAGCAACATGTTTTGCACTTACACAGCATCCCGCTCTCTCAGCTGCTTGATTACAAGTCATTGTCCTTGAAGTGTTCTTGGGAGAGTGCTGATGTCCTGCAAAGGCCTTAGCTGGTTACATAGCCTGGCTCTCCAGAGGGACTTTATACCCACAGTGGGTTTCCTCTGTTTGACATACACCAATGTCACAGCAAAACATTTGCATTTTAACTACTTGTGTTTTAAATACACTTAGATCCCATTCCCACATATCCTGCATCGAGAATGGATGTTTAGAACTGCTGAAAGTACAGTCTTATGCACTTGTACTAGGTCTTCCCATGGGATCGTCACCTCAAACAGAGGAACAGGGCAGAAAAGAGATTATCCAGATTTTGGGGTTGTATTACATACAACATATTCATTCAGCATATAAAAACATCTTCTGTTACAACAGCAACACACACTGTCTTTCTAGTGTAAATTCAAACATCGGAGCTAGAATAACCCATGGGAATGTTGCTTTTTGCATCCCCCAAGGCAGACAGCCACAGCATCTGCTGATCTACAACTCCCTAATAACTTTAAAAAAAAAAAAAATCCAACTACCTTCTGTTAACGCTCTTTAGACAATACAGAACATAGCTCACAAATATCATTATTGATTTTTTTAATGGGAATCAAAAGACAATAATGTGCTTTGAAGAAGACAATCACTCAGAGAGGCCCTTCTCTGTCATTTTTTCTGAACTAAAGTCTTTAAAACCTATCATGACACAACAATAACAATTGACATTAGTATCTTTCACAAGCAGGTGGTGCTAGGAACGTTACAGGATAGAGCATTGACATGAATCAATGCTACAACCAAGTTACGCTACTATATGTGGACTTTCATCCACTTGATCAAAAAGCAGATGTGCCAGGATGAAAAAGGCACCATCTCCAGAGGTATTTGAGTATTTGTATTTCCAAAAAGCCAAAGAAAGTTCAGAACACCTCAGGCGTAGGCTGCTACAGCACACATTTAAGTTAGAACCAGTATTGTTTTGCCACCATTACTGGAAAAACCACTGCAACACAGATTGGTCTTTAGTCATAAGCGCAGAACACAAAGACAGACATTTCTTTGGTGTGTAGGTACTCACATCCTGAGAAAAAACATCTGGGATGATGCCTTCACTTAACAGAGGAGCAAGAAACAACCTGATCTTAAGAAGGCAGCCTGCTTTCTACAGTCTCTTTACTGACGTGCCTTAATGAACATACTTACAGAACCAGGAGATGTATTAAGATACTGCATCACACCTTGTGGAAGTTTTCCTGTGGTAACCAGGGCTGCAATACCTGTCTGAACATGCCCTTGTACCTAAAAAAAAAAAGCAACAGGAAGCTCATTCCTTCAGCAATTATATGAGTTTCACGCCCAGACAGGGAGCAAGGATAGAGGACACAGGTAAAGAAACAGCTAAAATCAGCACGTAAAGCCAGCATGGAAAAACCTCAAAAGCACTCATCAGAACTCAGGTTCTTTCTTAAGTCAGCAAAACACTATTAGTAACACCCAAAGAACTATAAATTTTAAAGTAACAGACTGAATAACATAGAAAGAAGCCCACCATTTAGAAATGAACACTACTGGCTTTTTTTTTTTTTTTTTTTTTTTTTTTCCCCCCTTTGCTTTACCCCTAGGCTTTTTATTCACACTCAGCTATAGCTAAGCTGCTATTTGTACTCACTGCTCATCTAGTAGGTTGTAATTAAGTAAGAAGCCGTATCAATGGCTCCCATCAGCACTACCTTATTGTAAACACCTGCACTGTCATGGGCCTTTGGAGATAGAAATCTCCACAGGGGTTTTAATCTCCTTGGTCTTCAGGTCAGTTCATCATTACTCAGCACAACAGCAGCAACAGTACATGCTCCTTAGGGATACTTAGTGACTCCATGACCTTAGAGGTCTTTTCCAAACTAAATGATTCTTTGATTAATGCCTTATACCTTGTTCTGCTGCAGGTGATCTCAATAGCTGAAGCTAAACACCTACAAATCACTCTTTAATTACAAACACTGTTGATTGCAATTAGTTGCCTGGCTTCTATGAATTTATAAAAATGACCTGTTTAGGAAACCACTAGTAAGTCTAATGCACAAAAACATTGGAAAGTAATAGAATGCAATAATACAAATTGGCCTTTATTGTATTACATATCGTAAATTGGCTTTTGCCTCAATTTTACCAGGTTAAATTTGAGAATACTTGGGTGGGAGCAACTGTTGCAGTGAGAGGTGGAAGGTGATGCTTATGCTGAACACAGGAATTGCTTCTTTGAGAGAAAGGCACACAGAGAGATCTTAAATAATAAAGGACACAACACTCCCTGTGTTCTGACATACACAGGATGACTGTAAATGAATCCTGGGAAAGAAGTGCAAGTAGCTGATGACTAAGACCACAGACAGGGCATTTGATGGATTTCAGGGAAGGTTGCCTGCCCCCAAGCAGCCATGTACATTGTTTTGTTTCCACTGTGTCATTTTGCAGCTTGGCACACGCTCCTTGGAGGCTGGAGAAAAGGAGGCTAAGGGAGACTCCATAGTTCTCTATAACTACCTGAAAGGAGGGTGTAATATGGTGGGGCCAGTCTCTTCTGCTATGCCTGCAGTAAGAGGACCAGAGGAAATGGCCTTAATCTGAGGCAGGGGAGATTCAGAGTAGATATCAGATTTTATTTTTCCAGTGTTCGGGTGGTCAGACATTAGAATAGGCTGCCCAGGGAGTCACCATCCCTGGAGGTGTTCAAGAAGCCTCTGGATCTGGCACTGGGCGATATGGTTTAGTGTTTTAGGGGTAACAGTGGTGGCGCTGGGCTGATGGTTGGGCCGGATGATCTTAAAGGTCTCTTCCAACCTTGATGATTCTATGATTGCACGACTCTGACTCCAAGCGTTGGAGCCCTGGCGACAGGCGGACGGACCATAGAGAAGGCTCCGCCCGCCCGGCTAGAGAGGCTCGTGCCGCTGGAAGGCGGGGCTATGCAAATGAGGGAGCCGGGTGACCTCACACGAGATGGCGGCCGGGAGGTGGCGGCGGCTTCACTCGCCAGGACACAAGATGGCCGCGGGGCGGAGCGTGGTGGGGAGGATGCGTATGCGCGGGCGCGCCGTGCGGAGGCGGAGCGGCAGGGGAGCGCATTTACCGGACACAGGTAGGAGGTGCTGGGGGCTCTCCCGCCCCATCGCTGGCCCCGGTTTGTCTCCCTGCCTGCAGCGCAACGCGGTGGTGTGGGGGGTCCCCCTTCCTCTAAGGCAATTCGGGTGGGATGGGGGAGACATCCCCCCCAGTGGAGCTATTCCCCCTTTCCCTGCAGTGGTAGAGCCCGAGCGCGTACCTCCCCCCGTTACTCTGGACGGTCCCACTTTGGGCCGGGGGGTGCCCACCCTCTCTCGCTCCCTGCTGTCAGTGTCCGTGGGCGGGAGTCTTGGTCCTTGTGGAGTCGGTCGGAGTCCAGGTTCCGGTAAGGAGAGGCGGCCCTGGAGTGTGGAGTGGGGCTCTGGTGTCCCTGTCACACCTTCCTCTCACGTGGCAGCACAACCCACTGCCATGGAGCCCGCGGGAGATCCCGCCGCGGGAGGGTGGCAGTGCCCCTGGAGAGCCCACCGCGGGAGGGTGGCAGTGCCCCTGGAGAGCCCACCGCGGGAGGGTGGCAGTGCCCCTGCCCGGCCACCCTTTCTTCTCCCAGGGCTGCCAGACCTCTCCTCAGTGTGGGGGACCCTGTGGATGGGGCGCTGGGGTGGCGGCGCTGCTCGGCCATGTCCAAAGGCACAGCGTCCCCATCTCCGGCCTCGCTTCACAGGTATTGCCTGGCTCCCTGTGCTCCTGTTGCACATGTGGGACATCAGCAGCTGCAGTTGCTGACCTAGTGCTGTCAGAGATCCCTGGTGGCCTCAGCAGCTGGGTTCCTTCCAGTTCTTCAGTTAGTGGTGTGTGGCCCTGTGGCTGCAACTGGGGCATCGCGGGGGGACTGGCTCTGGGAGGTTTGCACAGGTGAAGAGACTCCTTGTTGGGAAGACAGGCATATAGCAGGAACTCCTGGTGGCTGCACTTGGCAAGGTGGTAAAAAGGGCTTCTCACCTGGTGCTTCCTCTGAAGTCTTAACAAAGAACAGGCATCTGTGCAATAATCCCCTCTTGTAGCTTCTGTGATCCTACTCTTGGGGATTGTTTTCAATGAGGAGTTCATATTTACTTCCAGTTTTGTAATTTGAGGGCAGAGTTACCTGCCAGTGGTTCCTATGCTAGTGCTGCGAGGTCCTCTACAGGATCAGAGCTTATATTGACAGTAAATGATGGGGAGACCCATCATTTTTAGTACATCTAACACACTTCCCTTACACTGTAAAACAATGAATCATTTAGACACGGGATACCACGTGTTGTTAAGTTAAAAGACTTGTCAAGTTCCGAGGCTATGAGATTTACCCAGTTGCCTCAATTAACAAACCTTGTGTACCCGTTAGGGAGTGAGATCTGATTGAAGGAGATTGCTCTGCTGGAACACAGCTCCACAGAAACTACCAGCTGGTTTGCGATGTTAATTGTCTGCGTGGCAGTTGTGTTTACGTGTATGAGCCTGGCAGGAGTGACGGAAGCATCTGATGGAAGCACATGATTGCCTGTAACAAGAAGGGTGTTACTAAACCTCATGATACACAATTATCAGTGATTGTTCAGTTGGTAAACAGTACTGGGAAACACCCTCATAGCCTCTTCCAGGTGTGTTTCCATGCCTGATCCAGGTGGTTCAGAGTTTCAAAGGCATTATTGCTTCACCCTTCCAATACCAGGCTGCTGGGAGTATGCTGTCAGGGGGTTCCTTCATGTTTCACACAGGACTCTGTTTGGTGTTCCCTCGGGACTCCCTCATAAGTAAGTGGATTATCTGAGGAAATGTGGAGTGAGGATTTCAGAAGTAGTACGATGGAGAAACAGAGCCTTGGACCTATGTTCACCTCTAAGAGGGTGCACAGGATCAAAGTTTGGTCAGAGGAGCCTAAATTTTGTGTGTCTAGGAAGGAGCTTTCCTGGGATAGGAATAGGCTTTTAAAAGTGGTTTTTTTGTTTAAGAGGGGGCTCTTTCAGTTTCATTCAGCTCTGTGGAGGGATTTCCCGTCTTACTGACAGAGTCCTGCCAGAATCCAAGTAGCTTCCTGAGTTAAGGACCCTCTGAGGTGTCTTATGTCTTGGACATCTCCTGGGGAAGGAGTGTGTAGAACCTGTTCTGTGCTCCCAGAATGAACTTGTCACTGGTGGATAAGCCTGACCAGATGAAGACACCTGTGACTGTCACTTACAGGGTCTGGGAGGAATTGATGTGCCCAGCACCAGCTGCTTTGCTGGGACAGGTCACAGAGCATCAGCTCTTTCACAGGTGCAGCTCCAATCTAGCTTCCCTATGAATGGGACTGGACTGCCAGCATCCCAGTCCTGTCTGGCCATGACCAATGTCTAGAAATAGGGTCCTCTCTCAGGTGACTTTTCCAGCTGATGGGTGGATTTATTGTGTGGCAGTTGCAGAAACACGGAGCTGGTGTATTTGGCCCTCTGCTAGTAAAACACCCCAAATCCAGGATGTGCAGCAGAAGCAGTGTAGTTACAGCTGAAGCAAGCATAGACATATCCTGAGGTTTTATTTGGGACAATCCAGCCTGCGTTACCCACACAGTGGAGAATGAATGTGAGAGTCATCCTGTTACTGCGGTCAGGTCTGCAGATGACTATTTCAGGCTCCTGAGTGGCAATCTCAGCACATAAAAATCATCTGGCCCTGCTTAAAAGGCTGGCTTGGGCCAAGATTCACATTATGGCTCTGCTGGTAGCTCAGTATAAGTGACTTCTGCTGTGGAAGGCTGGAGCTCAGCCTTGAAAGCCCAAAGTGTTGCCGAATCATGATGGGACACAGGGACTTGTGAATCCAGCTGTGAGCTGGCTGGGAAGTTACAGCAGATGTGCGAGAGCTGTGGTGTGTTTCCAGATGCTGCCATATGCCAGAACTCTCCAACAAAAGCAGAGCTTTCCTGGTAGCCAGTATTCAAACATCCTTCTCAGGAAGATAAGATCTGCAGACGTCACTGGCAGGAGCCAGATGTCAAATGCGGAGGCGGAAGTTCCTCAAATAAAGGCTCGTTTCTTTCTAATTTACGAGCTTGTTGCTTTATGACTGTGTGTTAGAAGTTCAGCATGAATGAATAGCTATTCCCTCCTGCAGCTCCTTTTCCCATTACTACTTACAGCCTTATGTTGAAATGTTGAAAAGTTCTGAC